CCTCTGAACCCTGAGCAAATAGAAAACAAGCTCTATTCTTTCCCAGGTCTCTGGTTCTGATATAAGTTCTTGTTTGTCTATGGACAGCAAGCTATCAGAACCCAAACTTCATTTTATTCTTGGCAGCTAGTTCTGATATTTATTCTATTTTGCATATGAACCCCCTACCTATCAGAAGCAGAACTCTATTATATAACAGGGCCTTGGATCTAATGTTAATCCTTGTTTCACTATGAACCCCCTGCCTATCAGAAGCAGAACCCTACTATATAACAGGGCTTTGGATCTAATGTTAATCCTTGTTTCACTATGAACCCCCTGCCTATCAGAAGCAGAACCCTACTATATAACAGGGCTTTGGATCTAATGTTAATCCTTGTTTCACTATGAACCCCCTGCCTATCAGAAGCAGAACTCTACTATATAACAGGGCTTTGGATCTAATGTTAATCCTTGTTTCACTATGAACCCCCTGCCTATCAGAAGCAGAACCCTACTATATAACAGGGCCTTGGATCTAATGTTAATCCTTGTTTCACTATGAACCCCCTGCCTATCAGAAGCAGAACACTACTATATAACAGGGCCTTGGATCTAATGTTAATCCTTGTTTCACTATGAACCCCCAACCTATCAGAAGCAGAACCCTACTATATAACAGGGCTTTGGATCTAATGTTAATCCTTGTTTCACTATGAACCCCCTGCCTATCAGAAGCAGAACCCTACTATATAACAGGGCTTTGGATCTAATGTTAATCCTTGTTTCACTATGAACCCCCTGCCTATCAGAAGCAGAACTCTACTATATAACAGGGCTTTGGATCTAATGTTAATCCTTGTTTCACTATGAACCCCCTGCCTATCAGAAGCAGAACCCTACTATATAACAGGGCCTTGGATCTAATGTTAATCCTTGTTTCACTATGAACCCCCTGCCTATCAGAAGCAGAACACTACTATATAACAGGACCTTGGATCTAATGTTAATCCTTGTTTCAATGAACCCCCAACCTATGAACCCTACTATATAACAGGGCTTTGGATCTAATGTTAATCCTTGTTTCACTATGAACTCCCTGCCTATCAGAAGCAGAACCCTACTATATAACAGGGCTTTGGATCTAATGTTAATCCTTGTTTCACTATGAACCCCCTGCCTATCAGAAGCAGAACCCTACTATATAACAGGGCCTTGGATCTAATGTTAATCCTTGTTTCACTATGAAACCCCTGCCTATCAGAAGCAGAACCCTACTATATAACAGGGCTTTGGATCTAATGTTAATCCTTGTTTCACTATGAAACCCCTGCCTATCAGAAGCAGAACCCTACTATATAACAGGGCCTTGGATCTAATGTTAATCCCTGCCTATCAGAAGCAGAACCCTACTATATAACAGGGCCTTGGATCTAATGTTAATCCTTGTTTCACTATGAACCCCCTACCTATCAGAAGCAGAACTCTATTATATAACAGGGCCTTGGATCTAATGTTAATCCTTGTTTCACTATGAACCCCCAACCTATCAGAAGCAGAACCCTACTATATAACAGGGCCTTGGATCTAATGTTAATCCTTGTTTCACTATGAACCCCCTGCCTATCAGAAGCAGAACACTACTATATAACAGGGTTTTGGATCTAATGTTAATCCTTGTTTCACTATGAACCCCCTACCAACCACTACAAGAGCTCCATTTCAGGGCTCTGGTATTTGTTTGCCCAAGAACCCCAAGCAAGCAGAACCCGAGCTCCATACTATTGTAACATAGCTTTGATTCTGGTATATAGTCTTGTTGTCTAAGAACCCCAAGCAACCAGAACCATTATGTAATACTACTTTTGTTCTGATATTAATTTTTTGTTTGCCTATGAACTCCAAGGAACAGAAACCCCATGTTTTAATAGTGTGTTTACTAGGTATCATCTCTCTCAATTTCTTGGAGTTTTGGACCCCACACTTACACGAGTTTCATTTTGTCATTATTTCTCCAACTTCTATCATGAATGTTTAACCCTGTACATGTGTAAAGACTTGTCTGAGGGACTAGACTTCTCTCAGAATGAAAGTGTAAAGACTTGTCTGAGGGACTAGACCTCTCTCAGAATGAAAGTGTAAAGACTTGTCTGAGGGACCAGACCTCTCTCAGAATGAAAGTGTAAAGACTTGTCTGAGGGACCAGACCTCTCTCAGAATGAAAGTGTAAAGACTTGTCTGAGGGACAAGACCTCTCTCAGAATGAAAGTGTAAAGACTTGTCTGAGGGACTAGACCTCTCTCAGAATGAAAGTGTAAAGACTTGTCTGAGGGACCAGACCTCTCTCAGAATGAAAGTGTAAAGACTTGTCTGAGGGACCAGACCTCTCTCAGAATGAAAGTGTAAAGACTTGTCTGAGGGACTAGACCTCTCTCAGAATGAAAGTGTAAAGACTTGTCTGAGGGACTAGACCTCTCTCAGAATGAAAGTGTAAAGACTTGTCTGAGGGACCAGACCTCTCTCAGAATGAAAGTGTAAAGACTTGTCTGAGAGACCAGACTTCTCTCAGAATGAAAGTGTAAAGACTTGTCTGAGGGACTAGACTTCTCTCAGAATGAAAGTGTAAAGACTTGTCTGAGGGACTAGACCTCTCTCAGAATGAAAGTGTAAAGACTTGTCTGAGGGACTAGACCTCTCTCAGAATGAAAGTGTAAAGACTTGTCTGAGGGACCAGACCTCTCTCAGAATGAAAGTGTAAAGACTTGTCTGAGGGACCAGACCTCTCTCAGAATGAAAGTGTAAAGACTTGTCTGAGGGACTAGACCTCTCTCAGAATGAAAGTGTAAAGACTTGTCTGAGGGACCAGACCTCTCTCCAAAAGAAAGTGATAGGCTTTGACATTTATAGTTCAATAGATAAGTAAATATCTCTGCAGTTTGTCCTTGCCCATCACACCTTGTAACATAGGGACCAAAACACAATTATCATTTATAGTTCTATATATGATTTTATTTGTGATTAAACTATTAAATTCTTTTCACATGATTCTGAATATTTAGAAACAAAAGCCAACACTGTGGCCTTTTCTGTTACTCCCAATGTAAAGTCTCTAGACTATGGTTAAATGATCAGGTTGATAAAGGTGTTATTCAATTGTATTTCTCTGGACAATCTCTGTAACATATCATCAAAGAAGGTGTAAAGCCAACACTGTACTTTTAGTAAAGTTCAAGTGGGGTCCTGAAGAAGCCCATATGTTTCGCGTGAAACCAGTAGACGAATGATGATACATAATAATTTCGGTATCCTGAGCTTGTCGCCATTGCCAATTATCTCTGTAATAAACTGGTAATGTCTTAACGAGTACTGTGTATGATAGTACAGTCTCTGTGACATATGTACAAGCTGGTAATGTCTTAACGAGTACTGTGTATGTTAGTACAGTCTCTGTGACATATGTACAAGCTGGTAATGTGTCTTAACGAGTACTGTGTATGTTAGTACAGTCTCTGTGACATATGTACAAGCTGGTAATGTCTTAACGAGTACTGTGTATGTTAGTCCAGTCTCTGTGACATATGTACAAGCTGGTAATGTTTTAACGAGTACTGTGTATGTTAGTCCAGTCTCTGTGACATATGTACAAGCTGGTAATGTCTTAACGAGTACTGTGTATGTTAGTCCAGTCTCTGTGAATTATGTACAAGCTGGTAATGTTTTAACGAGTACTGTGTATGTTAGTCCAGTCTCTGTGACATATGTACAAGCTGGTAATGTCTTAACGAGTACTGTGTATGTTAGTCCAGTCTCTGTGAATTATGTACAAGCTGGTAATGTCTTAACGAGTACTGTGTATGTTAGTCCAGTCTCTGTGAATTATGTACAAGCTGGTAATGTCTTAACGAGTAATGTGTATGTTAGTACAGTCTCTGTGACATATGTACAAGCTGGTAATGTTTTAACGAGTACTGTGTATGTTAGTCCAGTCTCTGTGACATATGTACAAGCTGGTAATGTCTTAACGAGTACTGTGTATGTTAGTACAGTCTCTGTGACATATGTACTAGCTGGTAATGACTTAACGAGTACTGTGTATGTTTGTACAGTCTCTGTGACATATGTACAAGCTGGTAATGTCTTAACGAGTACTGTGTATGTTAGTACAGTCTCTGTGACATATGTACAAGCTGGTAATGTCTTAACGAGTAATGTGTATGTTAGTATAGTCTCTGTGACATATGTACAAGCTGGTAATGTCTTAACGAGTACTGTGTTAATGTCTTAACGAGTACTGTGTATGATAGTACAGTCTCTGTAAATTATGTACAAGCTGGTAATGTCTTAACGAGTACTGTGTATGTTAGTCCAGTCTCTGTGACATATGTACAAGCTGGTAATGTCTTAACGAGTACTGTGTATGTTAGTACAGTCTCTGTGACATATGTACAAGCTGGTAATGTCTTAACGAGTACTGTGTATGTTAGTACAGTCTCTGTGACATATGTACAAGCTGGTAATGTCTTAACGAGTACTGTGTATGTTAGTACAGTCTCTGTGACATATGTACAAGCTGGTAATGTCTTAACGAGTACTGTGTATGTTAGTACAGTCTCTGTGACATATGTACTAGCTGGTAATGTCTTAACGAGTACTGTGTATGTTAGTACAGTCTCTGTGACATATGTACAAGCTGGTAATGTCTTAACGAGTACTGTGTATGTTAGTCCAGTCTCTGTGAATTATGTACAAGCTGGTAATGTCTTAACGAGTACTGTGTATGTTAGTACAGTCTCTGTGACATATGTACAAGCTGGTAATGTCTTAAGGAGTACAGTGTATGTTAGTACAGTCTCTGTGACATATGTACAAGCTGGTAATGTCTTAACGAGTAATGTGTATGTTAGTCCAGTCTCTGTGACATATGTACAAGCTGGTAATGTCTTAACGAGTACTGTGTATGTATTTGTATACAACAGCAGTTCCCATCAAAAAGCAGCCACATAAGGATTTCAACTATGTAATCAAATCAAGAAAAAAGAACTTTTTATTTTCATACACATCAACTAAAACACAGGATTTTTATACCATTTGAATCAAACATTATAATTAAGATGGATACATCAGACACAGTTTTTATTGCTATACAATCATTCTAATGATGCTACAAGAAGTGTGAAAGTAATCCTCCTGATATCTTAAACCAAAAGATTCATCAAATAATGACAGATGTTCTTATCAAGTTACTTACTTGTCTTATAAATACTAAAAGTGGAATGAAACAAAACCACAAACGATCAAATATAATAAAGCAGATTAAGTTTTAGATTATCATGGCAGTAGATAACAAACAACACAATAATTTTGTATGTATTTATTGATATCTAAAGCAATGTTAAGTAATTTAGAAGGTTTGTCTGTAAGAAGATATCAAGTACACATGTACTGGTAAATACAACCCTACCAAGTTGGAAAGAAATTAGTCAGAAACGGAGAGGATACCTCTCGACTTACATTATGATCACAACAAGGGCCAGTAACTCTTCCAAATACTGTCAATCATAACAACATTCAAGTAAAAGCAGTTCAGTGTTAGGTAGGAAATAGCAGCATTTTTAGCTGTTTTTTGAGTTGGTAAACATGGCAAGCACATGCCAAAAATCAGAAGAAATTTTTTATTTACTCAGATTTTGTCTCTCTACTATTAATGTAGTTGTTCTGTAGTTCATACATATAAATACATGTAAGAAAGTATTTTTCATAACCAAACTGCAATACCTGTATATCTCAAACATGACCAATAATTTCACGGAAGATGCAAATTAACTGTTTCCTGCTACCAAACTATCATTTATTCTGTCTGGCATGTAAAGACATTTAAACAATCAAAGGGTACCAGAAATACGTGTCGGCTCTAAGGTTTGAATACTAGATCTTAACACAGGAATATGTTATATGTTTAACAAAGATTCCTTTAATGCCCCATTTAAACAGATTTCAGTAGTTCTTACATGTCTCAACAAACATCAACCATAGATGTAATAAATTATGTGGGATTAAATATTTTACTATAGATTAGAAATGATGATGATAGAACACTTTAATGGTCTAAATGTAATCTTTAATATATTGGTATAGGTGGCATATATTACATTTTAATGTATCACAGTCTTAAATGCATTTTAATAAGTTAAGTTTTGATATACTTGTTTAAATGCGCTTGACTAAGTAAAGTTATGATATACTTGCTTAAATGTGTTTAAGTAGGTGATGTTATAGAAGGCTTAAATGCTTGTTTAAGGTATGAATAAATTTGATGCAGCTTACAAGAAATAATATGGGAATGTAGAATCTTTGTCAACATGCCAGGGCCTTTGTTAATATTCAATAGTAGAAATTATTGATATTTAACAGTAGAAACACCTTTGGAGAGGTTGTTTATTATGTTTATTTTGTATGCTATGTCAGGCCTGGTATCTGTGTGTAGACAATCTTTGGAAGGTATCCAAACAAGAACAATAAAAAAAAAAACAAGAAAAAAAACCAAGAGGCCCACAGGCCTTAATGGTCATCTGACTGTAAAGACCTATATATGAAAGTGGCAAAATAGACTTAAAATATATTGCTCAACTACTCTTCAGTTCACATTCAAGACATTGTTGGTTCATCAAGACATTTTCTGCAAACTTGAAATCATATTCTTTAAACATGCACTACAAAACTGTCATAAATCCGAACGTATTGCTTGTTGCAAGAGCAAGCTACGGGCCCAATATAAAGACTATTGGCCTTTCAGTTACTGAGAAGAAATTGCTTAAGCATTTCAATACATTTGACACCTGTGACTTTGAAAGTTGGTCAATGTCATTCATATTAACAAGTAAGTAGCCCTTCATCCAAGCATGCTACAGGCCTTATATCATCATCCTTGGACTTTTGGTTATTCAGAAGAAGTCATTTAAAGATTTCAACATATTTGATCCCTGAGACCTTTCAAGTGGATCAAGGTAATTTCTATTAACTAGGGGTCGAATCAACTTTTTTGAATTTATGAAATGATTAAACACTGTTGATGGTGTTTTAGTTGAAATCAATTAAAGCATTAAAAAGGAGTACCGTTTTGAACTTCCCTTTTTGGGGCTCGCCCCATTGTCACTTGAGGTAGAATCAAGTCTTTGAAGTTCAGACATAATGCTCAACTCTCAATGATGTTTCAGACCAAATCTGGTTCAAACCCATTCAAGCATTAAGAAAGAATAGCATTTTGAAGCAAAATATTTCCTTACTTTCCCATTAGGGGCTCAGCCAACAGCTAGGTCCCTTGGGGTCAAATCAAGCAGTAATTGCCTACCCAAAGTGATGCATCAGACCAAATTTGGTTGAAATCCATCCAGGTAAGAAAGAGGAGTAGGGTTTTAAAGAAAAAGTTTATGCACAATGCACAGTGGACGGTGACGGACGAAGTGCGATGGATTTAAGTCATCTTGACCCCTCCATCCCCCCATCCAAATATACAATAACAAAGCTCTGTTAAGCTCAAATTCAAAATAAAGCTAAGCACAAACAAAACAAAGAAGCATTACATGTCGATATACCAAAGAATTTAGTCTAGTGAGAGTAACTATGTCTTAGTCAGGTGTAACATAACACTGAACCGATAGTGCACAGAAGTACCCTATACTGATCATTTTTGTTGTACCTCCTAAGAATGAACCAAGGTACCAACTCCACAAGTGTTCATCTAGCATTATCTTTATATATCATAATACCCAGACAAACTTCTCCTGTAAAGGGTTAGGTAATGGATCAACTTTATCTATTTTACAACAATTGTGAAATTATTTCCAGTTATACTAATCTCTCTCTTGTTGATCTGATTAAGTGTGCAAGGAATTTTAGTGTTGGAGGAAACTGGGGTACTGGGAAAAGACCTCTGTTCTGTGACTATTATATTCTCTAACTACTCTATCATGCTATATAAAAATCATACCTATACCATCTTCCCTATCTGATTTGTCTTTTCTTTAACAATCACCAAAAGATGAAGTTTATCAGATGATGAATGACAATGATTCAAATGCGATGAATATCACAAATGTGTGAAGGCTTTCGTACAACAAGAGATCTTATATCGTCCTTTGTGCTCGCCATTAATGTGTGATCTGTATTGAACCTTTTCCGTTCTTTTGTCCTTATTTCTAATTATCACAAATACAAGGATTCACATCTAAGGATCAAGGGGATCCTACATGTGAAATAAGAGGATGATACTGCACTTTGACAATAAATAATAATGACATGATTACAGGAGGCCAACAAAGGAATATGTGTATGATGCTTCTTACAGCAAAAAATGAAGTGGGCTTCTATCGAGTATCTGAATCCATTCAGTTTAAGGTTATAAGGGTATAGGATTTATGAGAAACAGTGCTAACAACGTGAACAGCCCTTTTTTTCTTGCTTGCAATATCAACTAAAAAGCCAAGATGACACTGGATTGAGCCAGTCATAGAATGATGGCCTGTATGGCTACAGAAGCATGGCACTGACACTGCAATGATTATGGTTTACATTAGGAAAACCTTTACTTTGCCTTCCACCAATTTATTACATTTCGGACATGTGATCATGGCCGGTGCACACTGAAAACAGCACACTAGGTGACCACAGGGCAGAAACGCTATTGTTACTTCATTTTCTTCACATACTGAACACATCAACATCTGCTTCATCTCCTCAACCTCATTCTGAAGTGACAGCACCTCCATCACTGTGAAAATGTAAACATTATTTAAAGTCTTTTTATAATATCAAAACTGGATTTGTAAGACAAAGTACAATAAAAAAAATCTACAACATTTGAACAAAATTTTCACTACAAATATTTCGTAACAGGTTATTTGTCAGGCAAAAGAAAACTGCAGTATGTTATCAACACCAATAGTTAAGTGTATCTTAACCCAAAACTAATACAAATCATAAGTGGAATTCTTGTTCAGACAAATGTTTGTGTTTAACACAGTGTTGTTTCAACATATTCTTCTATATTGGCTGTCATAATCTGTCTAGGATAGAGACTAAAAATGACAAATCTGACAACCCTGTTAATAGAATTGAATTTTAAGTAGCAACTCTTAAAACCAGAAACCTGCAAAAGAATTGGTTTAAACAATGTCTATTAATTTCATAGAGTGATATAATTTTACATCAGCATAAACACAAGAGTTCTGCAAGCATTACAAAATACGCCCGTCCTAAGTTCATTTTGGTTCCTAGGTTGTAAGATTGATTTCCAAAATTATCTACTGAATTTCTTTAAAGTTAACGATGCTTGTGCAAAAACTGCCAAGACGATTTTAGTAAAGGATATTTTTAATTCGTAGGAAGGATTACTGACAACTCTTAAACAAACGGACATTGACGATTGGTAGAAAGGTTTCATCCATAGGAAGGCTTATTGATGATTTGTAGGAATGTTTATTATGATATTTACTAAAGGTTACAGACTATTCATAAATATTGTAAGTCCGCTGACATTTCGTAATAAAGTTCACTGATGATTCATAGGAAGGTTATTTGCCATCATTTGTAGGATTGGGTTGAAAATCGTGGATTATTCGCCCTTTGTGGAATTAGGGAAATTGTCCAGTGCAGTATCACATATAGTCAAATCGATGAGATAACATGGCCATGTAATGGTATGTTGACTGGAAGTAAAATTGTAAGGATTACCTTACCATGTTTAAGTGCAATCCAAATAATCTTGTGACTAGAGAAGAAGGTTTCTATCACACCTGTAAGAAGTTTACTAATAGTATTTGGAAACATCGAGTCAATGGTTGTACCAAAGTCTGTGGTAGGTTCCATTATGAGTTGTTGATAACCCATCTTTGAAGTAAGCGACTGAAGTTGTTTTTGGTTAGCGGACTTGTTGCTAAAATCAACGTTGAAGTCTCCCATTATGACAGTTTCACAGCCCTATAGATACTTCCTATGTATGTCTGTGAGCACAGCTTCTAAGAAATGCATACTTGTTGATGGTGGTTTGTACAAGAAGACCACTTTCATTGTCAACACTTGAGTAAGTAGGATTCAATAGGCGGGTGTGATATGTTGATGGGGTAGCTGTCAACCACTTGAGTAAGTAGGATTTCAATAGGCGGGTGTGATATGTTGATGGGGTAGCCGTGATTGTATGGTAATTTACTGTAGACTACTATTCCATGAAAGGCGGGTGTGATATGTTGATGGGGTAGTCGTGATTGTACGGTAATTTACTGTAGACTACTATTCCATGAAAGGCGGGTGTGATATGTTGATGGGGTAGCCATGATTGTACGGTCATTTACTGTAGACCACTATTTCATGAAAGGCGGGTGTGATATGTTGATGGGGTAGTCGTGATTGTACGGTCATTTACTGTAGACCACTATTCCATGAAAGGCGGGTGTGATATGTTGATAGGGTAGCCGTGATTGTACGGTCATTTACTGTAGACCACTATTCCATGAAAGGCGGGTGTGATATGTTGATGGGGTAGTCATGATTGTACAGTAATTTACTGTAGACCACTATTCCATGAAAGGCGGGTGTGATATGTCGATGGTGATGACATTCTTTCGATGGGAATATAAAAATTAAATCTTTCCAATGGCTGTTAATTACCAAAATTGGCAAATTGTTAAGTCAATTACAAATTTAAGCTAAACATAAGCTTGCTTATAATCATGACCCTGGAGTTCGCTAATGATAAGGAACAAAAATACCTTGACCCAAAATAATGATCAGGATTACAATGCCCTTGACACTGACTAATGATCAGGATCACAATGGCCTTGACACTGACTAATGATCAGGATCACAATGACCTTGACACTAACTGATGATCAGGATCACTATGGCCTTGACACTGACTAATGATCAGGATCACAATGTCCTTGGCACTGACTAATGATCTGGATCACAATGACCTTGACATTGACTAATGATCAGGATCACAATGACCTTGACACTAACTGATGATCAGGATCATAATGGCCTTGACACTGACTAATGATCAGGATCACAATGTCCTTGGCACTGACTAATGATCTGGATCAAAATGACCTTGACATTGACTAATGATCAGGATCACAATGTCTGTGACAATGACTAATTATCTGGATCACAATGGCCTTGACACTGACTAATGATCTTGATCACAATGGCCTTAACAATGACTGATGAGCAGGATTACAATGTCCTTGACACTGACTAATGATCAGAATGTCCTTGACAATGAATAATGATCTGGATCACAATGTCCTTGACACTGACTAATGATCTGGATTACAATGTCCCTGACAGTGAATAATGATCTGGATCACAATGGCCTTGACACTGAATAATGATCTGGATCACAATGACCTTGACACTGACTAATGATCTGGATCACAATGACCTTGACACTGACTAATGATCTGGATCACAATGACCTTGACACTGACTAATGATCTGGATCACAATGGCCTTGACACTGACTAATGATCAGGATCACAATGTCCCTGAAACTGACTAATGATCAGGATCACATTGTCCTTGACACTGACTGATGATCAGGATCACAATGACCTTGACACTGACTAATGATCAGGATCACAATGTTCCTAACAGTGAATAATGATCTGGATCACAATGGCCTTGACACTGACTAATGATCAGGATCACAATGGCCTTGATACTGACTAATGATCTGGATCACAATGGCCTTGACACTGACTAATGATCAGGATCACAATGTCCCTGACAGTGAATAGTGATCTGGATCACAATGTCCTTGACACTGACTAATGATCTGGATCACAATGACCTTGACACTGACTAATGATCTGGATCACAATGACCTTGACACTGACTAATGATCTGGATCACAATGGCCTTGACACTGACTAATGATCAGGATCACAATGGCCTTGACACTGACTAATGATCAGGATCACAATGTCCCTGACACTGAATAATGATCTGGATCACAATGGCCTTGACACTGAATAATGATCTGGATCATAATGGCCTTGACACTGACTAATGATCTGGATCACAATGACCTTGACACTATTGCTTACTTTCTGTATCATGTTGAGATGAATCCCCTGATATGTTTGCTGAGGATGAGGTGTTCCCTTGATTAACATCTGAACTTCTCAGAGCCAAGAATGATGCAAACTGCCTTGTTTCGGTTAAAAGTTTGTTTTCTTCTTCTTTGTCAAAAATTATCTGCATCAGTTCTTTAGAAGTCACATCAGACATCTTGTATGCTGTTAATAAATGAATAAAACATATAAGATATGTGACAAATATAGTGAGGAGAGCAATGAGGAGATAACTCAGCTGTGACAAAATAAAGTGAGTGATGAAACTCAGCTGTAACAAAATAAAGTGAGTGATGAAACTCAGCTGTGTTCATTAATAGATGTATGAATACATGTCCTCATCAAACATGAACAGTTCCACATCTTAATTTTAATCACATGAATATGTATATGCAGCAAAATGTAATGTACGACATACATATTGAACAAGAAGAATTAATAAGTCTATTAAAGATTCTGGCTTGTTCATCTTTCTAAATGAAAGGTCTGCGAGACAACTCCTACATGATGTAATCATTTACATTATTGTACTATACAAATACACGAGAATGTTACAACTAGTGTTCAGTCATAATACATCAACAATTATCACGGTCATTATAGGCCTGATTCATAAGTAAAACAACAACAACTGATTAATGTCAGCTCCCATGATTACATCATTATACAGTTTTAAGTTAAATGGAGACTTTTCAAAACTGAGGCAGATCAATAGTGTAAGTTAAACAAGATGTGTTTATGAAACACTATGCCTCCACTTGCAACAAAATTCTGAAGTGGGACATTAAAACTGTACTATGCAAGGCATGTGCTAATTGCAAGCACACTTTCTGAAACTCATCATTGTGGTAGAGATAGTGATAGTGGCAGTTATTTACTATCAAATGTAGGTCAAAGGTCACAGTCAAGGTCACCTGGCCAATACTTTTTGGTAGCACCAGAAAGGTTCTGTCACATGGAACACACATACCAAATATAAAATCTCTACCTCTTACAGTGTAATACCATATTTAACAGACTATAAACTGCACCCGAGTATAAGCCGCAGGGCTGGGTTTTAGCGGGTTTTTTTCCAATTTGCTTCACATATAAGACACACCAGAATATAAGGTGCACCTTTTCTTACGATGTGGTGACCGTTATGTTGACTAAAGAATATTCATTTGAAGAAACCTGGTAGCCCTTCACTCCAGCACCCTACAAGCAATATTATCATCATATAACTTTGTCTTTTTGGATATTGCGAAGAAATGGTTTTCACACATTTGACCCTTGTGGCCTTAAAAGTTGGGCAAGGTCATTCATTTGAACAAACTTAGTGATACTTCTTTCTAGCATCTTATCCTACATGCTCAATATCAGTACTTATTATTCCTTGGTCATTGAAAAAAAAAAGTTGTTTAAAGTGAAAATTTGACCTTATATGGAAGGACTGACAAAGGATGCCTGTGACTAAAAACAACTCCATAAAACCTAACAATGTTCAAAAAGATTAGTTAAAAACTATGAGAGAAAATTTCCAAGACAAATACATATTACCACAGATGGACAATGTTATAACACAAATTGTCTAAATAATTGATGGGTGTGTATACAAGTGATTATATATAGTGTTGTAAGGTCATGACAACTAAGTTGAAGAGTAAATGAATATTTCTTGTACTGTGATATAAATGTTCCACCTTCTGATGGTCTAATCTTCCATACCTTTCTTTCGTTGACTCTTCCATATCTCCAGTGCTTGCATTATGAGATTTATGCTTACACCATTCATCTTTAAACTTTCCACAGCTGCAAGGCTCATCACATCCACTGACAATTCTATTAAGTAAATAACAAAATAAGTTTTAAATATGTTTATTTTCCATTTTGCTTTACAAGTATTTGCTTAAAAGCACGTCACAACATAAAAACCCTTTCACACTAGTTCACTTCAACAGATAATATATGTGGGCTTATTACAAGACACAGAATCATTGCTCAATACAGTGGACATTGTCTGATTATGTATCACATTTATGAATAATTGTATATGTGTTTAAAAGAAACAGTTTACTATAGTTTAAATAAAAAGTTTTCTATGCAGCTCTGCAGGCAACACAAAAACTAGACAAACTCTATTGAACACAAAAGGTTTTGATTAATTCTATTGAGGAAATGGTTAATTATAGAACAAACAACATTAAGTGTTAATTGAAAAATTGCAAAAGTGGGCTTAGTAGTTTTGATAAGGGCTAGAGGAAAATTTTCATAATTGAACGACCCTGCTATTCTTAGATCTCTACTGCCTAATGAGTACAAATCCTACAAGACAATGATTTAAAGTAAAAAGATTTTGTGATTCAACAAGAGATCCCAGCAGGATCTTGCCACCCAAAAACCAAGATGGCTGTCTGTCGGCCATTTTGTTTTTCTGATCCGGCTCCAAATCAAATGGACACAACTTAGGACCAAGGGGAACCTACACATGAAATTTAAGAAAGATACATTCAATACTTCTCAAGAAATAGCCATAACAAACTTTTTTCCGATCAGACCCAAAATCAACCAGGCACAACTAGAAAATTGAAAACATTTCTTTCTTCTAAATTCAGCATCATATGTATCAATGATAACATGTAAATCTGTTTTTTATATGTTAACTATGCATCACTTAGGGACGATGTCCCCATCATCATAGATTCAATTTCACTTTGTATTTCTTATTAACAAATAATTAATTTTGTCCTGCATAAAAGTACCCTTAACTGTGAAATGAGAACCACAGGTTAATGCCCTTGGTGATATCATCTGGCATCAATGTCTTTGACTACACACAGCGTCTAGCTGTTACACTACCGTTACAGGTGACAGAATACAACAAATCTCCTTCTCACATTAAGAAAATATGTCCAGACTATTACAGAAGTATTATGAATAGTCCATTCCAATTCTGTCAGGTTTGTGAGATTTGCAGATTATTAGGGGTCCACTGTAAGTGTAGCCAAATAGACCGTGGGCTTTTCTATTACCGCCTACTTAACAAATATTGTTTACACTTTAATGTATATATGTCTGTAGCCAAACTGAGCACTAGATTAGACTTTAGTGTACACCTACTTCACCGATCATTTGATGTATGTACCATACAGATTACTAATCACTGAAACTTGTCACTGGCTATGCTATATTGACCTATAAACAGACAAACACAGTTGACAATCAATCACATCACTAGGACACAAAAGTTTTTATAAAGAAACCATTTACACTAAACCACTTGATAAATATCCAACACTTCAACATTCCACAGGATCACAAGAATGCCATGTCTGTATTTTACCTGTATCTTCAAAGTTCTGCGGTGTTGCTGTAGCCCCTTGTTCACTTTGATTCTGTTGGTTAGTTGAAGCAAGTTTATTTGTCTCTCCTCCATCATGTTGCCCTTGTTGGTTTTGCTGTGAAGTTGCTGGTCCTTGCTGTTGATTTCTATCCCCAGGTGGCTGTTGTTGATTTGCTGGTGGTGGTTGTAACACAGGTTCCTGACGAGATGGTGCATTCTGTTGATGATATGATGGGCAAAGTGTAAAGGATTTCTAATGTATCAGTTGGAGGTATTTACTATACTAAGTGTAAGAAGGTGACTAGTATACATGTTTCTCTTCCTTCAGGTAAATTAAAAGTTTTCCATCTTGGAGTAAAACTGTAAGATATCAAGGATAAAGATTGGAGTTTCATGGAAATCTGACATAGGTCCACTGATGAGTAATAACAACAAGTACCAGTGTTTCTGATGGTTTTTATTTTTGTTGCAAAGACCCTGACATCTGAATGTCTGATGTTTTTCAATTTTCATGACAGAAACCCATACATCTGACCAATGGTGTCATATTCAAATGATCTAGATTAGATCAAAATGAAATACATTTCAAGCTTCAGAAAAATCTGAGGAATTACAGCTGCTTGAGTGAAAAGGTTGTGATAATTTACTTCCAGTGCTAGTGACAGTGGCCGTGTCTGTAGACCATGGTATTACCAAAATATGTTAACACACACTATTGTAATGCTAAAAAAACCAATAGTAACTGTTATCTTTGACAGATCACAGATGAACAGACAGTTGGACAGACAGATGGAAAGATAAGGACAGTCAATGGACACAGATGGTTTATCAAATGGACAGGCGGATGGACAGGTGGATGGACAGGCGGACGGACTGACAAGTGGACTAGCAGATTATCAAACAGATGGAACAGACAGAATCCACATCTCTTGTGTAGCAGAAAATAGGAATGTAACTAAACAGAAAGATGGAGTGTTAAAATTTACAGCCTCACCATAGTAGAGGGTTTACTACATTAACATTTTATAAAATATACCTTATTTAAGTTTATTACCTACAATGTACTTTGAATACATACATTATTTTGTTGTCGTTGTTGTACAAGTCGCACAAATCTTTCTCCTTTATTCTGTTTAACATACAAACAACGTGGGAACCAACGAGCATGCTCCACCCAAGGGTCATCACCAGGCTCCCAGTTACGCAGGCCTCCTCCGCAGTAGAAACAGCGACAATAGTCATCGTTACCTACACAGACATCAAACAGATGTAACAGTCTGATGAATATGAACATGGGAGAATGGGGTAGGTGGCAGACCCTGCTTTAATATAAAATTATTAAATCCATACAAAAAATATTTAATTGATGGCAGATATCCAAGAGGAGGGCTCAACATTTTAGGATCTTGATTCTAAAAAGTTCCTTATTAGGGCTTTCCTGTGCTTTTCCATCCAAAGATCAAATATGTATAACAATGAACAAAGGGAACACTTAAACCTGACATGGCAATATAAACTTTAACTGCCAATATCCGAAGTGGCCTTCCGTCGGCCATTTATGTTCCAACCAAGTCATCAATTAAGCATTGCACAACCACAGACAAAAGGAGTCTATACATGAAATTTGAGAATGGTCAATCCTGTGCTTCAACATAACAAACTTTCACTTTTAAAATCAATTACATTTTGTATGTACAAATAGGGATCTTAGTGAACATTTACTACATGTCAATTTGAGAATGATTCATCAAGTGCTTCTGAAGAATCAATGACAAAAACTGTCAAAATCAATGATGACCACCAGTTTAATTTTCCAGTCTTAAAATTGAATATGCACACCTAGGTACCAAGTCAAGTCTATTCACACAATTTGAAAAAAATCTACCCAGTGCTTCTTAAGTCAATTTGTTTCTTTTTCTAGATTGTCCCAGAATAGCATGAACAAAATGGATCAAACTGATGTGTGAAATTGTAGAATGACCGACGGAGTACTTTCATGAGCAACAAATTTATGGATAGACGGACATCAGATGACAGATGAAGAGTGATCTGAACAGCTTACCATCTGATGAACGTGAGCTAGAAAAGTTTATCAAAATATCCTATTTACACTGAACATCTAACGTTGATAGAATAAACAATCTAAATGGTTCAATAATGCCATGAAAAATAACAGGTTTGTCTGATATGGCCGAGAATTTTTTTTATCTTTCTCATCCTGTAAAGTAAGGAGAAAATAATGCCATGAAAAATAACGGGTTTATCGGATATGGTCGAGAATTTTTTTTTATCTTTCTCATTCTGTAAAGTAAGGAGAAAATAATGCCATGAAAAATAACGGGTTTATCGGATATGGTCGAGAATTTTTTTTTATCTTTCTCATTCTGTAAAGTAAGGAGAAAATAATGCCATGAAAAATAACGGGTTTATCGGATATGGTCGAGAATTTTTTTTATCTTTCTCATCCTGTAAAGTAAGGAGAAAATAATGCCATGAAAAATAACGGGTTTATCGGATATGGTTGAGAATTTTTTTTTATCTTTCTCATTCTGTAAAGTAAGGAGAAAATAATGCAATGAAAAATAACGGGTTTATCGGATATGGTCGAGAATTTTTTTTATCTTTCTCATTCTGTAAAGTAAGGAGAAAATAATGCCAGGAAAAATAACGGGTTTATCGGATATGGTTGAGAATTTTTTTTTAATCTTTCTCATTCCGTAAAGTAAGGAGAAAATAATGCAATGAAAAATAACGGGTTTATTGGATATGGTCGAGAATTTTTTTTTATCTTTCTCATTCCGTAAAGTAAGGAGAAAAGAATGCAATATAAAATAACGGGTTTATCGGATATGGTCGAGAATTTTTTTTATCTTTCTCATTCTGTAAAATAAGGAGAAAATAAAGCAATGTTATTACCATTGGTATTGTAAATACATTATTTTTATTACCTGCGTAGAAAAATCCTGCAGAGGACATTTCATATGCGGTTTGGTTGAGGTATGCTGGCCAACCATTTTGGAAGGTTTCTGCTCGGTGGGCCTGGACAACATATTGAGGGTAGCGGGGCATGTAATTAGCCTGAGGGTCAGCTCTGGGCACACCCCTTGGTAGAGATTCCTCTTGGTTTGGTCTGGAAGATGTTTCCCCTTGTTGTGATACATTGGGGTCTACTCCTCCTGTCTGCCCACTAGACATTCCCTCTGTTAGAATATATATATATACCCCATGTAAGACAAGCACCAATGATTCTTTCCTCCTCATTATTCTTCAGCTGAACTCAAAACTGGGCTGATTTGATGACGACACTAATTAAAACATCAAGTTTTTATCCATTTGTATACACAGCATTATCCACACCAATGCTTAACAAGAGTGCCGTGGACACAATGTACGCCGCCACAAAATATAAAGATCAAGATTGGTCCTTTTGATTATCGCTTTAAACATGTCTGTATCATAAATCTTACAAAAATCAATGAACCGTAAAATCATCCCTTCATGCACATCGAACCATTGTATTAATGACATTAAGCAAGTTTTGTGAATATCTGATCATTATTTTAGGAGGAGTTGCGTTCACAAGGCTCCACTACGAGCAAGCTACAGATACAAAGTTGAAAATGGCATAAATCTTACAAAAATCAACGAACCAAAAATCGCCCCTTCATGCACATCTACACATTGTAGTAGTGACATTGAACAAGTTTCATGAAAATCTGATAATTAGTTTAAGAGGAGTTGCATTCACAAGCAATGAACGTACGGACGGCAGTATGGACTTATGGACGGACTGACAGAGAAGATGCACCAATATATAACCGCCTCCGGCGATGTATAAAAAAGAGAAAAACAGCAACAATGGACATTGAAATGAATCTTACATACCAAAGTAAAAAGTTCATACCCTATAATTCTGGATACAATTGTTGCCAGTTATTAGACAAGGACAGTAACATAACAGGACTGTAGATGCCTTTCCTGTACAGAAGCCAAGCTAATGTACCTAAAACATTGGAGAATCAATATGTTCTTCAGCTTGGACCTGTCATAAGGCCCAATGTTAAGTTGATTTTTGCAATCCTGAAAGCCCACTTCCGAAGCAAGCTATTACACAAATAGCATGATACAAGGAATATTGGCTGTTGAGAGGAAGTTTTTTACCATATCCGACTCTTGTGACCATGATAAAATAGTTGAAGCTCACTAATTTGAACAAATTTGCTAGTCCTTCATCACAGAATACTATAGCCCCAATATCAATACCCTAATATGGTAAGTAAGTTTAAAGGAAGAGCATTCAATAGAACGCTGACCAAGTCTGCTAGGAATTTACGATGAAAAAAAATAAATTGCACTAAAGAAGAGATCTCCGAGGGATCTTGGTGTCCATCATTGTAGGATTTTTATTTGTTCTTTAAAAGATTGATCATTTCTCTTCTTTCCTCTACTTTTGCTCTTAATTAAATGAAGTTTGATAAATTCTTTAAGCAACAGAGATATTAATCTTTAACCTTAATACTTTTGTTATTCTACTCAATTAAAAAAAATCAAAAGGTCACAAATAAAGACCAGGAGGTACCTACATAAAAATTTTGAGAACTTCTCAAGAAGTAACAACATACAAACTTCCATAGTCAAAATCAAAGATGGCCACCTGTCAGCCATTTCCTTTTTCTGATCAGCTCCTACATATGATGGAGATCCATTAATCAATTAATGGCATCAAACCTAGATGAATGAAAGGTGGAAATGTGACTTAATATCAGGACTCCCTAAACTTCATCTGAAAAAGCACCAGCACATGACAAATTTGTTTCTGCTTAATAACACAACATATCAAATCTCTTATTCAAAGAAGTTAAACCTACCTTCAGCACCCGATGGACTTGAACTAGCATTTGTCGGAACTGATGTTGGTGCTTTAGTGACAAGATGTGGTGTGCTGTCAAGGACAGCTGGTCTAGTTACGACCTGTGACATATCCACCTGGGGTGTCTCCTCACTACTAGATTCCCTGTGCTCTGCTCGGCTGGACAAATGCCTATAATGTCTATCTAGTGAATTGCGGTCATGTGATGTTTCAACGGCGATGTTGGATTTTTGGCTTTCTAAAGATGTGTTAGGTTCTGTGCCAGTGTCAGAAGTATCTGTTGAAATGTATTGGAATAACCATCACTCCATAACAATTAAAGTAATTGGTAATCATGGAAACAGAAATTATATGTTCCAATATTTTGTTACTAATGGTTGGCCCTGGAGAAAATACGGATATACAGTGTTTTTGAATACAAATATAACCAATGATGATGATCTGGAAAATCGGGAAAAAGAAGAGTTCAGAATACAAAGGTCTCACAAATATAATTTTTTTCATCTGATGAAGAGCACCTTGCATTCCATTTAGCTAGTCATTTGAAATTTTCTCTGATCATTTTTTGCCGAGAAAATTATTGAATATGTTAGAGTAATTTTACAAACCGGACGTTACAGGAGCTGCTGCTTCAGCTGAAGGTCCCTCTGCTCCCTCCTGTAAGGGTTCCCATGGAATGGCAGGCCACTGCTGATTGATATCAGGATAAATGGGTCTGTTTCGAGCTTCCCTCTCATTAAGGTGAGGACATTCTGGGGATATCCGTAAATGAATCTCGAGTGGGTCATCACCTTCCCTCCATTCTTTGTAAACTTGTCCACAACTATAGCAGCAAGTTTCTGATACTCTTCCAGTGTAGAAAAACCCTACTCTTGCCAGCTGTAGGTAGGAAACTCCAGCATTTCTTGGAAATGACCAGAAGCTCCTTACACGCATCCATTCATACTGCATGCTCTCCATAACAGAGACCTGCTGACCCTGTTCCACATGTTGGAAGTAACCACCCAATCCATGTAAAGCTGGTTCTACAATTACAACTTCTGGTGTGATTTCATGAAAAGTTAAAAGCCCAAGTCGTTTCAGGTTAGACAATAACCACAAACCTCTTTGTTGGGTCCATGATATACTGGTGAGTGTGCAAAATGTTTTTCCTGGGCGATCCTGAATGACTTCCAGGTCATGGAATGTGATGATAGCTTTTTGACTAGTGATTTTGTGAATGATGTAAAATAAGATATGATTATTATTAACACTAGTATCGGAGAAAAACACCTTACTGACAGTATCATCTGGTGGGTCTGTTTCCTGCCAAGTGTTTCTGTGGTCTTCAGATAGTTCATTGTCTCTGTTAACTAAATCATATAAAATTCGTTCTCTGCTAGGTTTGTCTATATACGAAGATACAATATTCAAATCAGTGTTTATTTCTTCATTAAAATCATAAGTTGTCTTTCCTTTATTTTGCAAACTACCTAGTGAATTAAAGAACAGATCCTCTCTAGGAGAGCTAAGGTCAGAGTAATACGCGTCTGATGAAAGGTCCTCACTGAAAATCCTATTAAAATTTACTGAATTTTTATAATTTATTTCTGTCTTTTGAACGACAACCCCCTCAAGATCTGACATAACCATCATCAGCTTACTTGAAAGTCCACATGAAACTGCAGATATATTCTGACCAGAGTCAGACATACAGATATCGTTGGCAAAGTAAGCCTCACACTGCAGTGGTTCAGTTAAGGGTAGTTTTCTATCAGAGCTCTGAGATGAGTTATTTTCAAGGGAATAAATATCAAGGATTCCATCTCTTTCTAGTGAACAAAGACTACTTGTTGAGTCATGGAAATGAGTTTCAGTTGTTATTAATGGTAATTCAAATCCAAGCACATTCCAGCCACTGTTATGATCAACAGGATATATATCAATGTAAGATTCTGGTTCTGAATCTAAATTTTCCATATGGTAGGGATGGCTATCATGAATAATCTCTGGCCACTCACATCGTTCTCTACACAAATCTGTGAAGTCCAAACCTGGACAGTCCTCCAGATCAATAAAACTTTCATCTTCTGCACTTGAATGACTTGAATCATCTTCTGCACTTGAATGACTTGAATCAGAACGTATTTCATCATCCTCTTTAACACTATGTGCTATTGTTTGAAGTGCTGCATCTTCACTTAATTGTAAGCTTTCACTACCAATATATCCTTCATCTTGCAGGTTACCCGGGTCTTCTTCATCTGGAAAAAAATTAACAGAAATATTGTGAAACCAAAGAACATCAAAGTTTTATTCTTAAAGAATCTTCCTTCTGTGTATATTAAAAAGATCAAGGTCCTGTCAAAGATATTGTAACAAAGGATCTTTTTCAGGAACAATGGAAAAGTGGGCGGCAATTGTAGTACCTTCAGTGACTACCCATGAAATAAGATTAAAAAATTCAAAAGGTCTATAGGGCCTTTGCTACCATCCATTTAGTGTTGTAGCCATAGAAGTATGACAGGGTTAAGTTTCCATCGAAAAAGTTTTAAAACCTCAGTGTACATTACCAAATGATATACTGTTTGATTGACAAAGATCAAAATTTCATCAAAATCTGTTCATATTTTCTCTTGTTCACATGGTCCATGGTAATAAAATTGTAAAGAGTCATAGCTAAGCAGATTAAAATAAAAATTGTCCCATGTTTGAAGTCATCCACGATCTCTTTGATATATGGTTGCATAAGAAGTTTCATCAAAATCAGTTATGTTTTTCAAAAGTATCACAATCACAACATCAAACAGTAATAACAGCAAAGAGCCATAACTTTGTAAATCACAATTGTTTCATTCCCATTGCATAAGTCATCCAAGATCTTACTGATATAAAACTGCACACCAAGTTTCATTAAATCTGTTATGCTTACTCAAGTTAACCTCTTCACATGGTCCAACAGATAATCAGCGAAGGGACATAACTCTGTAAGTTATAATCAAATTGGTCCCATTGCAATACTCTCTGAGATCTTATTAGTATAAGGCTGCATACCAAGTTTCATCAAAATCTGTTTATATATACTCAAGTTCTTGTGTTCTCAAGGACCACTTAGTAAAACTGAAAGGGCCATAACTCTGTAAATTATTATCAAACCTGAATAATTGAGAAAATATTGCTCAATCAGAGGTTAATAAGGCCTGCATTGGTCACTTTGATAAAATTGCTTATCTAAACTGAAGGAAAATCATTTAAAAAATTTTGATCTATTTCCTTTACTTGGCACCACACCTCTGCCTAAAGGGGGTACAGAAGCACTGGTCAACTCATTTGAACAAAATTTAATATAGATAGTTTCAAACAAAATTAAACAAATTATACCTAAAAATGTTATTTTTCTGCACTTGATTTTCTGGAGAAGATATCTTTATTTTGAATATTGTTCCCTTTTGGCCTGTCTATCACTTCCCTGGGTGTCAGTCAGGGTTAATTAATACATACTATAAAACTTCCATTCCATACTATTAATTCTAAGTAAGTCATTTTGAATAGTTATTAATACAAGAGGCCAAGTGGCCTTGAGGGTCACCCGAGATAAGCAGTATTGTATATATAGTTATCAAATCAAGTGTTGTGAAACAGAAATTGTGACAATGAATATAGTAAACCAGTGTCAATACAAGCACACCATCAAAACTGTCATCCTATACTAATAATTCTTACACAGTTATTTCCAGTGGAAATTTTCCTATGAAAATTACAGTAAAATTAGAAAAAAACTTCTTCTCCAGGAAGAAACGTGAGAGAGAATTTGGTAATTAAAGGACCTTAAAAATGCTTCCATCCATGAAGAGCATTTGATTCTACCATATCTGGAAGTTGAGAAGAAGATTTTTTTTTAATCCAAGTCAATTTGACCCCTTTTGGCCCCATCCATCAGTCCCTGGGGTTCAGCCAGGATCAATATGGGCATACCATCAAGCTGTCATCCTTCATTCATAATTCTAATCAAGTTTGAAACATTTCAAATGGAAATTAAACAAATTATGCTCAAAAATCTATTTTCCTATGTAAACTATAGTAAACTTTACTCCCTCCCCATGGGCAAATGTGAGACCCTGTGGCCATGCAATTCACAATTTTGTAAAGCACCTGAAGATGGCTTAATTTATGAAGAGTATTTGATTCTATCTTATCTGGGTGTTGAGAAGAAGACTTTTGAAATCTGAGTCAATTTGGCCCTGCCCTTCAGGCCCCTGTAGGTTGGGGACTGTATATAATTCACAACTTTGGTTCATCTTTGGCCAGAAAAGGTTTCTGCAAAATTTCATGGAAATCAACTCAGGATTTTTGGAGAAAGTGATGAAAATGTTGAATTGTTTACAGAGGCATGATGCCGGATAAAAGTGATCATAAAAGGTCACCATGAAACTTTGTCTCAGGTGACCTAACCATCACTCAATTATCTCTTCTGAACATTGCAATGGATTATAAAACAAAGAATCTACCTTCAACATATTGTTAGGAAATATATAATGAAGTATACCTGAACACAGTAAATCAAGTCTTGAAACCTGGAAAAGAAAATGACAATTACTTATCACCCCACCAAGTAATATACACAATCATTATGTTGTAGTTACCTAGCTGCTGATTCATTAATAAATGATTTCTTTTGCAATATCATTAGCATAACAATGTTTACAATTAACTCACATAATAGTTTGGTACATCTATAAATAAATCTTTATTTGAATATGGTCGAATATCACCAATCATGATAACTTAGGTCCACAACCCAAAGGCAACAACTCAAACATTTTTTTAATCAAGTTATTGTGAATAAAATCATAACATCATGTCATTTAAATCTAAGTCTACAGTCTTCAAAGGAAATTGATTGAGATAATAATCTGACAAGAGTAACATTGAAAAAAAAACAAAGGCCAGTAAATCTTTTAAATATAATCAAATACAACTGTCGTTCAGGATAGTTTAACTTAATGTCATGGTGAATAAGCCAACTAATTGGTTGAAATTGATTGAAAACTAAGAAAGGAGATCTCAAGAGCACACTAGTGTCATGAAAACAACAAGGGGCAGTAACTCCTCCAAATATGGTTAATTATACTGACATTCAGGAAAACAATACTTCAGTTCATGGTGATTAAACCAACCAAGTTTGAAAGAAATCGGATAAAAGTGAGAAAGATCTCCAGACAAGGTCTTATGAAAACAAGGGGCAGTAACTCTCCAAAAAACAGTCAAATCAAATTGCAGTTCAGGAGCACACCACTTCATGTCAGTGTCAACATTCTAAAAATGATAGAGACAGTTACTCTTTCAAATACATTCAAATCAAAGTGCCATTGAGGAAAACACAACTTCATGTCGTTATTGTAAAACCTATCAAGGTTCAAAAAGATCGATTGAAAACTGTTGGTGGAGATCTCTGGACAAATAACTAAACTACTTCAGATGGACTGATGCCATACCATAATACCTTCCATTACAATTTTTGACAAGTATATAAAAATATAACACAAATTGTGGCAATCTTCAAAACTAAACCAAATACAAAATATTATTATGAAAGTGGCTTAAGATCATATTGTTATATACCAGGCATAAAGGATCCAGGGTCTCAACATGAAAAACAGGTTCGTTTTCCTGTTGAACTCCTGATATTTCATCGTCTAAGGGATCCAAGAGTATCTGCCCTTTTCCCTCAATGTGCTCCATGTAAATGACCTGAGCTGCCCCTCACCAAGATAAATAAGTTGGCTTGTCTTGAAAGTGAAGCCTGTTTATTTTACAAGTTGGGTCTTGGTGAGGAGCAACTCTAGGTCCATAAATCCAGGTTACATCTGAAACAAAACAAAGAGTAAATAAGATAATACAAAGGGTGCCCCACTGTTTAACACAAAGATACACAATCTTATATATATATATGTGTGTGTGTGTGTGTGTGTGTTAATATTACAGCAAGTTTAATTAGTATTTGTTATTTTTACTTGTTCCAAACAAAGTATTGAAATGGAGAACTTCTACTAGAGTACTAGCTTGATGCCTGTACAAAGTTTACTTGAATGTCCATGGTAAAAGAAAAATATTTAAATAGAGAACTTCCCAATAGTGAAAGATACTAATAGCTTAATAAGTATGAAATTTGTAATGAGGGCTATCTGTTTCCATGGTAACAGAAAAGAATAATTAACTAGGGCACTGACCTAATATATACAGGAAGTTTTGTGGAGTTGAGTGGATTAGTTTCAAAGTTTTAGCCCGGAAAGGAAAATTATTACTAATTTTGAGTTTTTTGACCCTGCTAACAGAAAAAAATATAAAAACTGATAAGTCATCAATAGCAAAAGGTACAACATGGACACTAACTTAATATTTTCAGAAGGTTGGTGGAGTTGAGTTTAACACTTTTGAAGTTGTAGCCTGGAAAAAACCTGGGACAGAGGGACAGACAGATGGAGCCCAAATTGATATCAACACTAAATTGTTTCGGGTGGGAATAAATTAGGCAAAACAAAAGTATTGCGCACATGAGAATATGTTCTTGTAATAAAATTTTAGATCTTGTTGTATTGTTATGCCCATGCAGCTTGCATTATCACTATGTTATGGACAGGGGCCATGTAGATATTTGTAGCTTGCCTATTTTTCATTCTTGGAGATTGATAGGAGATTGCATTTTTGGGGATGGAATTCATCGAACAGCTTACTGTGAAGAAGTCAAAGGTAATGTTGTTCAGAGGGTAAAGAAACAAACTTGGTGAGAGAATGGTTTCCTGGGAGACGTTTCACTCAAATGACACATAGGTCTCCATTGATTATTACTGACTGTGTCCTATTAGTGAAAACATTTTCTATCTACTCAATGACAATGCCCCTTATCCTATAGCGATTTCTGGATCAAGAGATTGTGGCGGACTTTGTCAAATGCCTTTGAGAAGTCAAACATAAGGATGTCTGTTTCTGATTTTTGACATTTTTGGATACATTTTCAATGAATTCAATAGCTGTGTTTTTTTAGATGAAGACAGACAGAACCAAGTTGCGTAAAGAGTATTGTTTTAGTCTGCATGTGCTTCAGATACAAGTGAGACTGGCCAATAGTTTTCAGGGTTGTAATTCAAGCCTTTTTTTACATAGATTAGAGACACATATGTACATGCCACTTTCCAGTCAGTACCTGTTTCAACCGACAACATAACTTATAGTTTTAATATGGGTCAGACCACCTTTTCCATTTATTTCAAGATTCTTGGCTCATACGGTCAGGTCCAGCATCTTTTGTTGGATTAATGTTCTAATATGTAATTTTCTGAATCTATCATATGTTATATGGATGTTACTACGGATGGGATAGTTATGTGGCATGAAACAATGAATATACAAGTCTAAATAATGGATGCATGTCCGCAGCCTTTAAGTCCATTTGAATATGATCACAGAGCATAATGTAAATAAGCCTTGGTGCAATTAATACAGGTTACTGAGCATTGTATATGTAAACAATTATTTTTCCAGTTTTCATATGACATTGTTTCAAACCATAAAACAGTTTTTCAGCATTGACAACATGGTGTGGTAAACTATTCCCTAGATAAAAATGACTGAAAACTGCTTCCTCCCATCAACACATCGTCGTTTTATCGCGACATTTGGCTCTATCGTCCATTTGGAAAAAAGCGTTTCACTCAGTTATCTACTTTAAAAACGTTAATCAGACCTCCCCTGGTCAGATAAGTCAAATTAACATATGACATAACGGGAAACAATCTCTAATGCATTGCTTTAACCCAAAATCTATCCCTCAAAGACCTGACTATTACTCATATCATAGCAGGGTCACGCTGAATTTTAAAGTTTACGCTAAACTGAAATTGTGTTCAGGTGGTGATTGTGGTGATAAACTGTGTATATTGTACATAAGTGAATATCAATGACGAAAAATTGAGACATATTAACCATGAGACACACGTTTGCCTAGGTCCACGTGTCGACACGGAAGGTATTTCCCACAGCACTGCATTATTTTAAAGAAGAGGCTTCGACAGCATGTTGAAAGAATTTTTTTTCAAGTTTGAATATGAGTTTTTCGTGCAAGTTAGGTGTCTATATTATGTTTACGGTTATATTTCCCTGAATGTGTGTTTTTCATACCAATAAGAAGGGCAGCAGTGTCTAGCTCATGGTCTCCTTTCGCGTGCCACTACAGGACTAAGACCACAATTAAATACTTCCGGGTTCAGTACCCACGAAGGAAGTCCCTAAAAAATGTATGTATATTTGGGAAAAAATAATATGCCTCTTTGAATTGGATGTTTGCCTATAAATTTGCTGTAGATGTGTTATAGAGATGATAATCTAGCTGTCAGTGTGTAAATCATTCATATTGAACATGTATTTTGTGCTGCAGGATCCGGTGTAAAAAGTCCTGTTTTCACCTTTACCCCTGACCCGGATGTATATAATTGACGCTGGTGACACACATGGAGGTATATCTCCAGAAAATGCCCAACATGATGGGTTGAAACTTTTACATTTTGCTTCTCAGATGTTGATCTTGTATTTTGTGCTGCAGGATCCGGTGTAAAAAGTCCTGTTTTCACCTTTACCCCTGACCCGCATGTATATAATTGACGTTGGTGACACACATGGAGGTATATCTCCAGAAAATGCCCAACATGATGGGTTGAAACTTTTACATTTTGCTTCTCAGATGTTGATCTTGGCCGGGTGAAATGGAAATTTGCAGATGAAACTTTGGGACTTAGTTATGAATTTTAATGTTACAATGAAACATATAGTGAAATTAATTGTGGTCTTAGTCCAGATATTTTTTTAGACCGAATACGGGTCAGACGATTTACAGGATCTGACAGAATCGGGGTAGAATTGTGACATTTAAATGATTTTATGAATTTCTTTTGCATTGATATCAACATATGTTACAAATTATGAATAGTTTTAAAATGAATACGTATTATATAAAACACTAATATCCGTTTTGGTTGCGCGAGACCGAAAGACGACAGGATCGGGCAGAATCGGGCGGTTTATATGTAGAATTTGGGCATTAAATTGTTCTTAGTGTTAATAGTGTTTTAAATGACCATTATTCAAATATTTAAGTTTCAAATTGACCAAAAACGGCGAAAATAGTAGAATAGTGCCGTTTTATTCATTTTTAATGATTTTTTTTGCATTAATACCATCATACGTTAAGCGATTCACCCGATCCTGTAAATCGTCTCTTCCTGTCCTACATGTACACATGATACTGTGTGAGTAGTTCTCCTTTTGAGTCCATCACCATCACTTGTTCATTTAAATAACAATGCAATTGTTAATTTTGTTGAAATACCCAGTCAATTTTTATGTTTTGCTATGTTAGCATATATGTAAATTACACTTAGATAGTGTCTTAACTTCAGCATTTAGTGATCCTGTGTGAGATACAAGAATCTTAATTATTATATCTAGGTCTAAACTAACAGTGATATGTTGATATTGATCTTGTTATGTACATAGTATTTATGTACTGTGATATTGTTAATCCAGAGACGTATCTAGTTAATCTTATACCTATGTTTGTCGCAAGAATAGCACTACAGTGCTAATGTTTATCCTGTTTGTGATATGCGACTTTAAATAAAACTTCTCGACTCTCGATGTATTACTGCGCTTAGACTATCGTAATAATTCTGGGGGATCAGGATTAGTCTAGCGACCCACTTCAGAAAATGCGTTAAGGTGCACCATTGACACAAAGATATTTTTTACGGTTAAAAAGTTCCATCGATTCCACTTATTTGACCTTGAGGCCATGGTCGCAACGATCCAACTACAAAGCACTGCCCTGTAGTGGGTAATACAGGTAAATAACAACTTGTATAAATCATTTTTAAATATTCAAAACTACATTTTAACAAGAATTTTAAATCGTGGGTTAAACTGGCTCTTATCCCACCTTTGCAATTTGTCTGTGATTTATTAAGGTATAAAAACAACTTTCATTATCATTTCTTTAATGGTTTGAAAGTAACCACCCGGACAAGAAATTATTGAATTTTTTTCACCTATTTGACCTTTGACTTTGAGGTCAAGATCAAAATGACGTTATCAACTGTAGGTGATGCAAGTATACTGCAATACTGCAGGTTTCACCTGGATGGAAGTTGCGACACGGACAATAAATGACTAGAAAGTTCAGAGGATTACCATAATGTTTCCCTTCCATCGTAGAGGAGACATAAGAAAGTTTGCTGAGTATACCAAACTGTTCTTGACTTTAATTCAAATGAGTCAATCAAAAGTGGACACAATGACAGATTTATCTAGGGTATTATCAGGGACGTATTATGCGTCCCTGGTATCATATACCAAATTGAAGAGAAAATATTTAGCTGCCAATTTAGACCACTATCAGTAAGATGTCTCGAACGGTTTAGTGGCAAACCCGAAAAAAATTTTTTCTCGTAAGACCAGAGTTACGGATGTTGTTATTACGTGTAGAATGAGTGTATTGACAGAGGAGTACCTATATATTATAAATACGTACTTGTCCAGAATGGAGGCATATGTGTACGTATTGACTCAGTATGGACAGTACATGTATTTAGAAACTTGAATATATATATATATATATTTCTGGTACACAGGTAATATTGGTGAATGAATTAACAAGTTTTTCATGGTTACAAGAGGTTATTCAAAATAGAACAATGTCTAACAGCATGAACGTTAGCCGTGTCAGCTGTATTGATGGAAATGAGTGGAACGTGGTGTAAATATGTGATAGTGCATCAGTAGAGACTACTTTTGTGTAAATTTCAAAGTAAACAATCAGATCATTGGATAACACCATACATACGATCATTTTAAAACGGTTTTTTTTATTGCGTAACAGTGACTGGGTCAGACGGATCGGAAATCGGACATCGCATACGCAATGCTTTGTGGGTAGATTAGGTTATGGAGACGACGGGATCATATACATAGAACAGTGTAAAATGTAAGTTATCGTCCTCGATCTTGGACTGCCAAGTTTTTCTTCTAGCAAATTGCGTCATATTTTGGCTGAAAGAGTCATTCCACATCAAGTATCAGAAGAGTAAATAAACATTTGAACTAAATATAGATGAAGTCGGCATGTAGCTACACATATGTGTATCTGTTTATAGACGAGGTTTTCCCTGCCACCACTATAAATAACACTGTGTAAATACTTCCGGGTGAATACGCTTTTGAGAGGTTGAAACAGGTTGTAGTAGACAGAAAATACAAATATAATGTTACTTTCGAGTCTATGTAATTTCACTTTTATCTTGTATGGTTAAAACGCTATTTTTTCTTTTGTAGATATTTAATATTTATCAAGCACAGTACCGAATATATGTGTTTTAATATGTATTCATACTGTATTGTAATGAGCCTGGTATAGAGGACTGAGAAGTCCTGAACGAGTAATACACTTATCTTACTTATCTTTGAAGCTTTTGAACATGGTTTAATTTCTTAGGTCGCCTCACAATCACATACGTTTTCAAAATACGTGAAGTTTCAGCTTGGAAAGTTATCAACCGCGTATACACTTGTTTAACATTATGCTGTGAAATTCAAGCACTGTTTGTAGACCCTTTTGATAATGTGCAATATATTATATTTGTAGCGACGACAAATGATCATGCATGATTGATGATGATTGAAAAAACGTGCACGTGCTTGTTTGTACACTCGATATAAACTCTAGCATTAGCCTAGATTTCAAAAGTAAGCAAGTAGGAGTTGTTACAAAGTGGGTAACCGTATGTGGTTATCGTACCATTTGACTGGTCACTAGGCCTCCTCACAATACAGTCATATATTCCTAATGATGGAGCCGGTTCTCACCATGGATTCGACTTCAAAATAGACCACTTGTTCCCACAAAGGTCTTGTTCCAGTGACCTGTAACATGGAACATCCACCACAACACAAAACACTACATACTTCTCTAGTGAGTCGTTCACCATTGCATTATTTTCATTTCGAAGTGCATGCGCAGATGTATATTACAGCATACGAGTCTCTTATCATCAAACATCAACGAACCGGACCTGGTTAGCGTCATCTCATCTGTTTGATACTGTTGCACTATAGTTAGTTATAGGGATTTACAAACAGTAGCTCTACAAAGCAACAAGTACAATGTGAAAAATTGAAGAGCTGAGTGTCAAAAACATGTTTGTGCGATGGAATAGTCAGGCTTACCAAACAAAGGGACAACTTCAAAAATAGGGGATTGTTTTCAGAGATGATTTCTATTTCCAAAGTATTCATTTTTTAGGCATTGAAATCAAATAAGACCTGTCGATTGTTGTCGAATTTGACTTTTTTCAACTTAAACTTTTTTATTGCCCGAAAAGAAAATGTCATATTAACAGTCACTCAGTTACTCCAGTCTTTGTTAAATAACAATAACACTTTAAAGCCCCAATATACGTAAAAATCACTATAAAAAACAAACTTTATCTTATTTTCCCCGTAATATATGTAACAAAACAAATACTTCCCTTTAATTAAAGAAAATAAAACTGACTGTTTTCAATTTAAATAAAAATTGAAAAAATCGGAAAATAAACTATGTGGGACCCACAATAATTCATACATTACCGCTCGTAGCGATGTCATTGCACATGCGCATATTCCGCGGGTGTAAACATGGCAGACACAGTACAGACGTTCACCAGTCGCTTCCATTTTTTCAATCATACATCAGGCCAGTTCTGAATTTTTACGTTATAATTATACGTCGTATCGTTTCTAAACTAATTATTCCTTCTAATAATTTCCCAAAAACTGAATGTTTATCACAGGAATACCTCAAGTCTACGACAAGACTTCGCAAACAATATTTGTAAACAAAATCTTACCGTAGACATATCTGCATGTGCTTCCTCTATAAGTAGAAACCTCAACTCTCGCGAGATCAGGTCATGAACTTTCCGACGTGGTTCGGCAACAATCGTAATTTCGATGGCGGCGTGTTTAAAATGGAGGTGTGTTTACAAATAGCGAGTTTCAACTGCTCATATATCAATACTTTATGCGCAAAGTCATGGTAACTATTGTTTGAATAACTTAATTCTAACTATATCTTAGGGAATATCTCAATAATTATGTGTGATTCTACATTAATTTTTGGTGAATGTTACGTATATTGGAGCTAGTAGTAAGAAATTGCCGGTATGAGCGCATTTTCAAATTAGGGTTGAAAACCAACCACTAACACATCTGACTCAACAAGCTCAAAACCAACCACAACAATGTTTAAGTCATATAAACATGGTCTAAATGACTTAAAGAAAAATGACGTTTCTAAAAAATGACTTAAAGAAAATACATTCTATAATGTAACGAGCGGCCTCGCAAGCTCGACTATCTCCTTATTGCTGACCCATGAATTGAACGTCTCTGGATAACCCTTCCACTTGACCAGCGACCTCGTTTTACCCTTCTTGACGACTTTTTCTATCCAGTATACCTCTTGGCTCGTCTTCTCCGTGTTAGGTAGTAAATTTTTTCATGTGCTTCACATAAAACCCACACCGGTTTTCTTGATATACTCTTGGTGATATTGTTTTTGCTTTCACCTTAATTGTGCATACAGCATTTGCATCACGAGTAATAGGAACGGGTGACATATACATCATGTAGGCCGTTTTTGTTTTTACCTTAGTACCTTTACTAGCAGCCGCAAACTGACTTATCAGGGGCGCGTTTTCAAACAACCCATCCCCCGTCTCAACGTCTACCATTACCAAATCACCAATAGAATAGTAACTCCTATAATCCACACCCAGGTAGGTGGAAACTTCTAAATAATCCCCCACCTTTACATTTGGGATCGTTAGTGTTATAAAAGGTAAAGTTTGATAAGTTGTCGTATTTGATGGGGTGATAGTTTCTGCTTGAGAGTGCAAATAAGTATATGGACCATAAATTCTCCACGAGTCAACTAAAACAGCATCCACATAACCTTTTGTTGCGGCGTGACCATCAGTCGAGGGTTGAGCCAAGGATAGGCCAGTTATTTCATGGCCTCCCATATGCAAAGATCCAGTCATAGTGTCTCCTCTCTTACTAACTCTAGCTACCTCACGAATGGACTTTGAAGTAACCATCCAATGTTTACCACTCCACGTAAATGTTCTCGATTCTCCACCAAAAACAATCAAAGATTGTAAAGTCCCAACAGATGTATCAGTGCTCTCATCCGGATTTACTATTCTATTCTCATTATCCCACATTGAACATTGATTACCGTTTTTTTCGTGAATAACTAAGTATTCTTTACCGACGGTAGCTGTTGGCGGAAAGTTTAGCACAACGTTTCCGCTGGTGGTATCTGCTAGAATAATATGATACGTATCATCCAGATTATACAAACCTGCTGTAACGAGGGTGGTTACGGGTGTAGGGTTAACAATTTGACCATCGACATAATTCTTAGTAGAGACGTCTTGCGCGTTCACGGGATCCGACACGTTCGTTAACGTATTTCCCGCCATATCGATGGAACCAGTTACGGTAGCCCCATTCTTTCGTAGAAAATTCTTATTGACGTACGACAGAGACACACCGGGTTCTGGTGGTGGGATGTTGTACTCTGACGTCATATATCCAAATTTGTGAATAGGCATGTTTTTTATATGTATATTTTTATAAATTAATTTCTAATAGAAGTGAAATAATAGCTCCGGTAATTTTTGTTGTTGTTACGTTGGTTACAAAGTTGAGCACATCACCTACATTTAAATCGATTCCTCTCACATCCGAAACGTGATTAAATTCTCCTTGTGGCTTTAAAATTTTACATTGAGTTTTACTACCATTAACCACGAGGACTACACCAGCCTCTTCGGGAGTGGATTCTGGTGTTGTAACCGACATACCCATTTTCAAAACTTTAGTTGGTGCTAGCACGGTATAGCCAGCGTTTTTACCTGTTGCACCATCACCGAACGAGTATTCGTACTTCCCTTTCACCAGTCCACCTTTTTCTTCAGCCCAGATAGTTATATATTTTTTATTCATTTTTCTTTGTAATTTTTGTGTATTCATTAATAGCTGAGAATACTTGACTCTTAGATCCTGGATATCCATCTCTAATTTAGTCACATCAGCTTTTCTTTGGAAATTCTTATTGACGTACGACAGAGACACCGGGTTCTGGTGTTGGGATGTTGTACTCTGACGTCATATATCCAAATTTGTGAATAGGCATGTTTTTTTAATATATATATATTTTTTATAAATCAATACAATCCGTTTATGATCTCTTGAAGCTCTCTCCCCGCGCTCATCTCTTTTAGAACGTATAAACACAAATGACCGCAAAATACCTGATCGGCTGGCTGAACCTGCTCTGTATTGTACAAGATCCCTCGCTTCAAATAGGATATCAACTCATTCGGAGGTTGTATGCCATAGCTATCGAAATAGTATTTATTTTTTCCTTGTTTGTACCAGGCGGTCCAGTGCGTTCCTCCTCCGTCACTAGAATCTAAATTCAGAATCCCACATTCATTTCTCTTTGGTCTCTTCGGAAGTGTATCGCGCAGAAATACTCCTCTAAAGTTTGGTATTTTCAATTCATCTGCAGCCCTCATTAACTCGATATTACTTAGCGGTTTATTTGGCAGAACGACTTTTCCCACTGAAATGTTCATTTTTATATATATCTATTAAAGTTTAAAGTGTCCGTGGGCTAGTGTGCGCATCCCATCCTGGAGGATGATTCGCTTGTCGTCATTTGCCGAAAGAGCTATTTTGTTAATTTCTTCGGTGTACACATCATGACAGTGGCTCCTGATGACGTTCATCTTTCTCAACTGATCCTCACCCGTAAACAAACATTTCTTGTAATCCTCAAACGAAATACTCTTTCTGACAACGGACCTTTTCACCCCCTTACACTTCTTCTCCTCATACCCCTCAAGCAACTTGTAACTGTACAACTTAGCTCTCAACCCCACGAATTCTCGGATGATCTTACCTCCTGCCTCGTCCTTGAACACCTCCTGCCTCGTCCTTGAACATCCCCACCACTTTCTTGTTACGACCGACTTCGATGCCCGATGGGTGATCCTTTGGGAAGTTGCTGGTGTCAAACTTGGCTGCCACGTCACCAGAGATGTCCTTGTAAAAGTCTTCCGTCTGGATTTCGTATGCCAAGGAATCGGTATCGGTAAACAGGAGTTTTGCCTTTTCTCCGTACTTTGTCTTCATGTAGTTGTAATGGAAGTCGTACATCAACGTCTTGCTCAGATCGAGGATGCACATCCCGAGATAAACGGGCTTGTTGAACTTCAGTTTCGTCTTTTTCATATGTACGGCAACCAGGTTCTCGTCGAAGATGGTGCAATGTTTAAAATTGGGTTTTGCTGCCAACTTCTTCGCTTTTGTCTCGTCGTTGACTAGTCGGATATCCACTCGGCTCCTAATGTTCTCCATAGTCTTTCCGAAAACAGAGTTGTTCATGAGCTTGAAAAAGTCCTTTTCAAACTCATTGTTTGCCTCTGCTCGGAGATTGGTGTTCAGGTCGATGTATTGCTTCAACCATGCACTTTCCTCGAACCTGATGCCCCTGTGGATCTTTGTAATCTTCATTCCCAAGCCCTCGTATAGTTTGAGGTTCTCGTAGTGAATGACATATAGTTTTGTCATTGAGATTGGGAATAAGCTTTTCCACATTATGGACTTTGAGACTTTCTGGAGCGAGCGGATAGTCATTGTGGAGATCATGCAGATCCTTTGGATATTCAAGGTCAACCTCCAGTATACAGCTGTGGTTCTTCCAAGAGTCCAGTTCACTGTCTGTCATCCACCCGAATCCGTGTGTAGGGAGCGGTTTGCTCATGGCCCAACCATAGAGATTGTTGGCATCCAAATAGGCAATATACTTCGCAGGATCATGGGGGTTGAATGTTTCACCCATGTATGG